TCAGCCTCCCAAGTGCTGGGATCATAGGTGTGCGCCACCACACCCAGCTCACCCATGCACTTTTCTGCTTTAGGTCTTACATATCCTCCCACCCTGCACAGCCTACATTAATTACCCCAGCCACACAGGACATTGGGCACTCCCAGCCAAAGGGAAGCCGAGATGGTAGCACAGGGTAGATAGCTTCCCCCCTCATCCCAAGAGAAGGCCTCACTGTAAAACTGGGAAGGCAAGGACAGAATAGAGGGGAATAAGAACCGCGCCTGTCAGACCCAAAGCAGAAAACCCCTTACCAGGCCCATGGGCGTCATCTTCAGCTCAAAAATCACCAGCAGAGAAACCTTATTCAAGGAGCCATGGCCAAGACTGGGTCCTGGAACCCTGGGCTCTGCTGCACCTCCTCTGCCCACTACAACTGACCCCGGCTGGCACTGCTGACTTCCTTTAACAACTTTCAACAGGGAAATTTCAGAAGGAAAAAAAAATGGCTCCACGCGCCAGCCAGCTCTGAAATCATTTCCCTAGTTGTAGCTAGAACACTAAGCTGTGATGTTTAGACTAAACCTGTGGAACTGGGGGTGGCTGGAATCTGTCGAAGTGCATGGAGGGTGCGGTGGGACTGCCTCTGAACTCACTCTCCAGGCCCTCCACCCTCCAGGCCACCCAGCCCTGCCTCCACACGGGCAGTCAGCACTCCTCGGCCTCACACCTCTCATCTGACTCTGTGGTGAATCCTGCCTTCTTGCTAGGAACTTATTTCCCTTACGACAATTCCAATATTCACTCTTCCTCCCTCATTCTCTGACACACACCCTTCATAATCCCCCAGCTAAGCCCCAGCCCTGTGCTCCTCACTCGCAGAGGTCCCAGAACCCATCCAGGTTCCAATCCAGTTTCTGGACCGGCCTCCTCCAGACTCAAGTGCTTTGTATGAGGACAGCCCCAGCTTCCCCGCACGCAGGGACTTAGCAGATACTGTTACCTTGTCTGGGGCCTCTTCCTTATCCTCCATGCTTCTTGGGGATTACATTGGTCTTTCTCTCTCCGGAGCCCACAAATCCCAGGCTGGCCTCTGTGAGGGCAGCTGGTGACAGCTCTTTCTTGATTTGCACTTCACCCTAGCCTGGAGCCAGGGAATATGTCCTGGCTGCTAGCACAGAATACTGCCCCAAGCAGACCCTAGACCTGCAAGCCCCCCAGCAATAGCCGATGTATACTTAAAATTCATTACAATAAAGATGAAAACTTCAGGTTCTCAGTACACTGTGCACATTTTGAGTGCTGCCACATTGGAAGGTGGGCCCAGAACATCCCTGTCACCCACAGAGTTCTGCTGGCAGGATGAAGGGCCTATGTAAGGCTAATCATAGGAAAGAATCACCTAAGCTCTCTGTCTCCAGCATCCCAGAGGAGGACACGATGAATTGGGTCACAAATGTCCAGACATCCCACAGCAGACTCTGTCTGAGCTGGAGGTCTGTGATCCGACTCAGTTGGGGACAGAAACAAGTGCAGAAACAATTGGCTTACCCCTTCCTAGAAGAGCAGCTAGCACCAGGTGACCGCATCCACACCCACTTTCTCTCTCTACATCCAGCAGAAAAAGCACTGTGTCCTGCAAACTTTCTGACCACAAACACTGTCCAACCTAGTAGTAGTAGTCTGGCTTCTTCTGGATACAGGGTCTCAGCCCCATGCAGATGCCTTCTATCACTGTGTGCACCTATGTGAGCAGGGGAGCACGCCCTCAGTCATTGATAAAGGTTTGGGGTTTTTTTTGTTTCTTTTTTTGTGGTGGTGGTCATGCTAGGAATTGAACCCAGGGCCTCACACATGCAAGGCAAGTGCTCTCTCTACCACTGAACCTCACCCCCTAGCTCATCATAACCCTATATCCTGAAGAAATCTCTCACTACTTTATAGGTTAAGAAGAATGAGGTGGATTATTACAGACTAATACAAAAATAAGATTAATGGGCCAGGGATTTAGCTCTGTGGTTACGCTGCCTGCCTCTCAAGCGCAAGGTCCTGAGTTCGATCCCCGGTACCAACAACAAAAAAATGATAAGATTAAGACTAAACCCCTACAGGATGATATATGTTGCATGATCCCATCTTAGCAACCCAAAACAGGAAGGAAAGAAATTTGCATGTCAACTTCAACAACTGTACCATGTGTGAATTAGTCTGACAGGGGCATCCACCACCCTGAGAACAAGACTGTCACCTCGGAGTGTCACAGCAGGAGCGCCTCTCCATGCTGACTACATGACACCCCTGCACTCACTCACTTGGTGTGAAAAACAGGTTAAAACTCACATTTCTCAGAATCTTTGGATATCTGCTTGCTTCTAATCTCTCTTTATGTGGGGACAGGAAGGGTAAAAAAACACACAAGGAAGCTGTGCTCAAATCCCATGAGATAAAAGCCTGGCTTGGGGGCACAGGAAGTGGAAGGTAAAAACATCATCCCCAGGGCTGGGGATTTAGCTCAGTGGTTCCGGCGCCTGCCCTGCAAGGGCAAGGTCCTGAGTTCGATTCCTGGTACCAAAAAAAAAAAATCATCCCCATCTGCAGGGAAGAATTCTTTGCTCCAACATGGGATGAAAACATTACATGGAGCCAGGTAGGAAAGCACAGTGTTGTGCAATCCCTTCCAAAAGACAGTGGTACTACAGTTTACAGGAGAAGAAACGCAACTGGGAGACAAGGCAAAGCCACCATGTGGAGGGTGTAGGGGAGGTGCCAATGGACAAGTCTTCCCCAAACTATATCACTTGACTTCTCCCTTTCTAGATTTCTTTGCTCTCCAGAAGAAAACTGGCTGAAGACAGGGCTTAGGAGACAATCTAATGTCTCATGCGAATTAAGTGGAGGCCCAAGGGATGAAGTAACTTGCTCAAGATCTCACTGAGTATAAAGGGTAGAGGGACCCACTTGAGACATCCATAGAATCCTGGGTCCTGCCTGCCCCACACCTGGTCATCCACAGCCACAGTGCTCAGGGAAACAGCTGTACCTGTGGCCAGCCTACCTGCAGCACCACCCATGGGGGTCTACAGAGGCCACATTACAAACTGTAGTCGGGTGAATGTGGTGTGTGTTAATTTTTGCCTGGAATAAGAGGTGCAGATGCTGTGACTTTCCAGTCTCCCACTCACATTCCACTCCCTCCTGATCTTGGTGGGGCTTTTTGGTCCAAACCTCTCTGATGCACACATCTGGGAGGATTTCCTCAAGGAGCTAAGCTCTGTATTCTGAGCTGCCTTGGAGGAGATTCTCCTCAGGCCACACTTCAGGGTCAGGCAGAGAGGAGGCGCTCTAGAAATATTCTCCAGGCTGGACTAGCTACCTCAGAGACCCCTGCGAATCTATCCCTGCCTCCCAGGCCAGGGTTCTAGAGAGCCCAGTGGGCTCCAGGCACTTGCTGAAGCTTGATAAGGGGCACCCCCTGCCCTGTAACACCTGCACACTTGAGGCAGGGCTGTCCCATGAGGATGTTGGCTAAGCCTTGACACTCCTCCCCTGCAGTGAAAGCCAAGCTGTCCTGCAGACCCTGAAGGGGGTGGGGGGCTCTCTAGCTTCCACTAGGGGAAGCAGACCAGGGAGAAAGTGGCACTGAGCCTTCAGCCTCCAAGGCACTGGGATGGTATAACAGAACAGAGGATGCACCCAGGGATCCTGGTCTCTCCTCTGCCTTCCTGACTCCACATGCATGACCCTATACAGCTGTGGAAGGAGCAGACAGGGACAGGCACAGGACTCCTCTAACCAAGCACAAGTTTGGGAAAGGTCTATGTGTGGCTTACTGTTTACTCCAGGTACATATAGCACAAGAGTCTCTCTTTATAAAGCAGGCACTTCGCCTGCTTTATAAAGCTGAGCAGAACACTGCTTTGATTTTCTTACTACATTTTAAAAGGTCACTAAAATTCTGCCTGAAGACTTCAGGTCAGACCAGCAGGGAAGACCGCTTGGAGGAAGTGTCAATAGAACCAACACTAGAAAGAGGTTCACTGATGAGTCAGAGGGACACCAGAGAGGGAAGGAGCAAGTGCAAAGGTCAGACCACAGTGAGCAGAGGAGGGGGAGTGACATGAAGTCAGAGAGAGGCTGGTAGAGGCTAAAGCACATGAGGCATCTGGCACTGACTCTGAAGGACGAGGGAAGCCATGGCAATGACAGGGTCTGACTAATGTTTCTCAATGGGTCCTCTGGATACTGTGTGAGAAATGGAATGAAGAGTGTAAACGACAAAGAAGATTAGCGAAGGGGCTGCTGCAGGGGTTGGGGCAAAGTTGACCTGGACCTCGCTGCGCGGGGTGAGGTGGAGAGCGGCGGATGGCTCGGTCTACAACATGTTTCAGGCAGAGGTGCAAGGCTTGCAAACATGAGAAGTACAAAGGAGGAATCAGGGACGCACCTGGGTTTGTGGCTTGAACAACTAGGTGGAGAATATATGGAAGTGGGGAGACAGGTGGGAAGACGGCGCGGATGTGTTTGTGGAAGGGGGAGAATAAAAACTCTGCTTGAGGCACATCACTTTCCGACCTGCCTCATGATCTCTAAGTGGAGAGATCACAGGGTGGCAGGGCGTGCTACTGCTGTCTTACCCTGCTCCTCCATTCCCGGAGTTCTCCATCTCAAGGAACAGCCTGTCTGCTCCAGGTGCATTTGGCACAATCAGGGTTCTACTGCCTGACCCCTGGATCCACCTGAGCTAGCTGCTCACTGACTAACCAGCTCTGCTGAATCACTGACTGTGTGATTCACACATCGCCTGACTCAGTACCTGCTGCACTTTCTCTAGGCCCCCCAGCAGACTAGACTGTCTGCCACTCCAGAGCTCTCCAGGGCCAAAGCAGCCCCTGTGGCCAGCCCAACACTCCCTTCCCGTGAGTGGAGAGCATGGTCCCCGGAAAACAGGCCCTCAGCTTTGGGTATGGTCTCTCTGTTTGCCCCACATGCCCTACCCTGCAACCTAAGTCCCACTCACGTACCTGCGTCACCTCTGGCCTGACGTTGAAGGTGTCCAGCCAGTCGCTGAAGCGTGGGTAACTGTTGAGCTCCGGGGTTCTGTCGCCAGGGGCCACGCTAAGCTTGCACTGCCGCTGCTTACAGATATACCGCACCAGCCTCGCCTGCAGGAAGTGCAGGAAGAAAAGGCACATTCAGTGGTGGCACAAGCACATGGTGGCCCCAAGTGAGTGTGCAATAGGGGAGCTCAGGCAGCCATGAAAGTGATGTGATCAGGAGGGGAGGCTGCGGGGCCCTATGTTGATATCCACACAGGCGTAAGGCCACCCATGAGGAGAGGGAGGAAAAAGAAGGGTTCAGAGGAGCAAGCAAGGGGCGTGGGAGCCACCACAAGTCAGTCCCCTGCTACATTTGAGGCTGGTGACACAGCCTGCCCTCAGGACCACACTCTGCAGAGCGTAACAGGCAAAACCGGTCAGAACTGAGACCAGGCCAAAAGGAAGCAGCCTCCTGCCCAGGGTGAGCTGGAGAACTGGGGAGGACTTGGGGGCTCAGGAGCATGGGTCATCAGGAGGCTTCCAGCCTGCAATCAGACCACCCGGGTTGGGATCCAAGGCCTCAAATGCACCCTGGCTCTGTGGCCTTGGGGAAATTACTCAACCCCCCGGGAAAGCCTCAGTTTCTTTCTTCAGAAAATGGGGATAAGAATGGATGCTCCCTGCTGGGGTGGGGAGTGTAAGAAGAAGCAACACTCTCCGCACATGCTGGACACATGGTGAGCACCCAATGGATGGCTGCTGGGCAGGGATAGGAGCTTTGAGATGCATGCAAATTCCAGGCGCATGAGTCTGTGTATCTCCTAAGGGAAGAGTACCCAAAGCTTTCCCAAGATTCTCAAATACAGTAACTCTGGATAAGGACAGCCTGACTTGAGTCAGACTGGACTGATAAAAAGAAGGGGGACCATTCCAACCGGAGGTAGAGGATATGACCCTACCATCCCAAGAGAACCAAGGAGCTATGGGCTTGGCTGAGATCTAGTGATCTAGTGACCAGTGAGAGCTGCTGAGATGGTGACAAAATTCCACTGGCCTCCCACTGCTGACTTGCAAGTGTCCCCAAAAGGTAAGCACCAAGCTGGGTGTGAAGGTGCACACCTCTAATCCCAGGACTCTGGGAGGCTGATGACCCTGTTTCAAAAATAAAAAAGTAAAAAAAGAGCTGGGGATGTAGTTTAGAGGGAAGGCCCTGGGTTCAATGCCCAATACTGAAAGGAAAAAACAAAACAAACAACAACAACAACAAAACAAACGCAAGTACCATCTTCAAAGTGTGGCATGGGAACTTGTCCCTTGGTGACACTCTTCCTCGGGCCCTGCTGCCCCCAGAGTTTTGTTGTCTGGTTGCTAATTCATTCCTTGTTTATTCATCTATAAATATCTCAGTATACATCTCTAATGAATAAACATTCTTGTTAACATACGCTCATACTAATACAATAATAATAAATGATTTTAAATTTCAAATACCTAGAAAAGCAACCAATTTCCAATTAGAGCAGGAGCTTAAATCCATTTTGGGGCCATGGACCACTTCGGTGATCTGCAGAGGCCCGGACTGCTGAGAGCAATGCTTTTAAATACACAAAACCTTTAAGAATACAAAGAAAATCCATTATATTTAAATATATTTTTCAACATACTTAGAACTGTGAGAATCTAACAGTAAGTCTAACAACTGTAACTCTGAAGTTGTGACAAGGGCAAACTGCTTTTTCAAATAGTACCACGACTGTAATATGATATGAAAATAGCTGGAATTTCTCCTGGTGACCGAGTCACCAGTGTTTACTGACTCTGCCTTGTTGCCCACAACCACACAAAACAGCACACTAAATTGTAGGTAAGGTTAATAAAAATAAAGGTGCATTTCTTTTCCTCATCCACCTCCACAGGCCCCCTTAAATCCACAGACCCCAGGTAGAGAACCCCCATGGCTAGAAAGAGTATAAAATGAGAACCACAGTAACAACAAAACCTGCTGCCACATCGGCCTTCCTGAAATTTCCCCTGGAAACTAATCTGGGCCCATCACTAACCTGACAAGTCCTGACTCAACCTACTCAGGTCACTGGCCTTCTCTCATGTGGCCCCAAACTCTAAATCCTACTACCTTCAGGCTGCCAGAAGGGTCAACAGCAAGTGGGGAGCACCACTAGAGAGGGAGCACTGAGTCAGAATCAAAGTAATCCCAGTCAATGGTATGGTTTTGATGTTTGGTGAAAGCACTGTTCAGAGAGGCAATCTGAGGGCATCCACCCACCAGCCGCCCCTCCATTACCCAGGCCAGACAGCCCTAATCAAACAAGCAGAAGCTCACAGCTCTGAGCAGACATTGCTAATCAAACACTCTGCTGAGGCTCATAACTCCCAGTTGCCACATATGTTAAGAGGTCAACTTGCCATTCCTGGGACCATTTTGGGGGCATGAAACTCACAAATGTAATGACACAAATGCCACTTCCATTCTGCACACCTAAGTATGTCCCTCCCAATGTGGCCAGAGGCAAACTCCAAAATCAAGTACCAACCTCCTCTTCCAGGCTCATCTCCAGTGCACTGGCTCCTGGAGGCACCCGGTCTCCAGGCACACGTTCACCGAGCCCTTCCTCAGATCCTTCTGCTCAAACTGTGTTTCTGCCCAGAGGGCCCACCCTTCCCCCAGAGAGTTCCAAGGCCAAGTCAGGATTCTGCTCCCCTCTGCTACTCTATTACAGCCCTGACCACTGTGGGCCTTACACTCAGGCTAACAGCTCTGAGCAGGTCTGCCCAGCAGACCCGAGCTCCCAGGAATGGGACAGAACACATGCTTTTGAGATGAGAAGATCTGGATTCAAATCTGCCACTTATGGTTGTGCGACCTCCAGGGAGTTAATTCATTTTTCTAAGTTCACTCATCTGCAAAGCAGGAATGACTAGTCCATACTGAAATGACAAGCCAGCCCCCCTGGCACACATGAGTGCACAGACTGTGGCCACCTCATTCATTTTTGCCCCCACAAGCCTCTTACTGCACCTGCATACGACATGTGCTCAAAAAGTGGCTGAGGAAGGAAGCATATGGGCTTTGTCCCACATTCCCCACAGCTGGCCCTTCCCTCCATTCCTAATGGCTCTCAGAAACCAGCTTCAAAGGGCTGGCCAGACACAGGACCATCAATCAAATAGCTGTGCAAACTCAAAACCACCCTTTTCCACATTAACTGAAGAGGCTGGGCTCCTGGCACTGGGTTCTTGGCACCAACAGCAGCAGCAATAAAGGTCACCCCATCATCAGCATGGGGTGTCATGGGCCACCCCTCTGGAAGTGATTAATAATACATCCACTCTGCACAAGTCTTTGGCAATGGCCAGCCAACACAAACAGAGCCAACCGGGCTTGGCCTGAGCCAACTTGCCAGCCTTCTCCAGGTCTCCCCTACCATCCCCCTTTTGGCCTCCAGGTGCTGTCCCTGGGCCAAGCAGGCTCTTCCCAGGGATTCCTCAGTCTATGCTCAGCTGCCCCTTCTTCCAGGAAGCCTTCCCGAGGCCTCCAGGTACTTGCCACACACGTGACCTACAGCAGCTCTAACTTTGTACTTGTTGGCTTCCTTTTTTAAGCTGTAAATTCTAAAGGGGCCCCAGTCTGCACTTCTGGTCACCACTTGATCCCAGGGAACCAGTACAGTGCTTGGTACACCATTTGCTATTTTAAAACCTTTGTTGTCAGGATGGACAAGTGAACACGTGGTACTTTTTGAGCCCAGACAGGCACATAAGTTTATCAAAATGGCAGCGGAAAACAAACGCCAGCTGGGCAAGTGATGAGCACAGGAATCTGAGCCTTCCAAAATCCAAGGTAAGTTCCCTGGAAAAGGAATGAACAGTTTCCTTCCCCGAGCCCCACCCCACAGTGCTGGGGTTTAAACCTAGAGCCTCATGCATGCTAACCAAGTGCTCTATCAATGAGCCACATCCCCAGCCCATCTTTTTTTAAGAGATTCCTGCTGAAGAATTCAAAGCAGGCTTGAGAACTGGAGTGACTCCTACACTCAGCGGGTGCTACCCTGGTCATGGAACGGGAAAAGACACCAGTACACTGTGACCGTCTGCGAGTGGTCTGGAATCCCGGCAGCGGCTATCACTGCAGATCCTGGCTCTGCTGAAGAGCAGAGCTCCCCTCACTCAAGACAGAGAACAGAGGTGGCGGCATGCAGCGGCTCCCATAACAGTAAAACAGAGCCACTCTCACTTCTCAGAAAGTTGTAGTCACAGAAGCACCAAAGGGCTATTTTCCCAGACAAACCACAGTGGAGCCTGCCAGCCCAGCCCAGAGGCCTGCCAGGGGACCTGTCACTGCTGTCATCATTTTCTCCTAACCACAAAAACCGCAAGATATAAATTTTCCGGAATAGAAAAGCACCTGAGGTTCCAGTGATGGGACCAGCAGCGTGAGGGGACGTCATTAGGACTCTGGCCCCAAGGGAGGGCCTGGGCTGGAAATGAAGTGGCCCCTGCCCCAGTATTCTTTTGCTTCAGGAGTGTGGCCCACACTCCTGCCCTGACAGCCTGGAGGCAAGCTGCCAGGCACGCTGTGAATAGCAGGCACTCACTACGTGTCCTGGGCTGAAAGAGCCAGGCCCTGGCCCCAGCTCTCATCAAGGACCTTACAGAAGCCCCCTGAGCTTAGCTTCAACCTCCCCACCTATAAAGAGAATCACTACAGAAGCTGGGGCTGAGCGAGCTGCTACATACCAAAGTGCAAGGAAGGAAGAAGAAAAACACAGGCCCTACAATGTTATTGTTGGTTAGTCCAGCCATACTCAGGAGGCAGCACCTTTCCATGAGGAAGGACTGGAGCTCTGGAGACCACAGACTGCCCTCAAAGCCCCTCACCACCACTCTCCCTTAGAGGGTGAACACAGGCAAGGGATTCACCTATCAGCCTCAGTTTCTCCATCTGCAGAATAGGGTTTGTCTACCTAAAAGGCTACTGTGAAGAATTACATGACAAAATATGTTTGTAAAGTGTTCAGCAAAATGCCTGGACCCATGGAAACTGGCTCAGCGGAAGCTGCAGTGGGTAGTGTCCTTATCAAGCTGTCTTCAGGTCCTCTCTTATTACC